TGTTTATGCTGTGGGAGATTTGGGTATCTGCTGTCACCTCTTATAATTTTTCCTCTTCTTTGAGAATCATCTCCAGCTGAGGTTCAGGAAACAAAGTCTGAGTGGATGGAAATCACAAGCTGTTTCTTTGTCAAGATGTAGCTTTTTGCCAAAGAACAATCATTTAACTAAGTGATGGTTCCTTTGATTGTGTTGACACCTGGCAGAGGCAATGGCGGCTTCTCTATTGTCTCTGAGGAACTGATTTGTGCCTGTTCCCCAAACTTTGAACATGTTGTTGTAATATCATACAGTAGACTCTTATAACTTTACATACAATATTGCCACATACATTTTACCAGGACAATGATGATCAGCAAATTATGAGTTTTTAAATGATACCTCACAAGGCATACTTTGTATGAAATTTATCATAGTCCTATAAAAGGGATGAACATAAGAGTACAGACTGTCATAGAGTCTATCATTATAAGATGTTTTCTAATCATTTAATAATTCTTGTGGCTCTTCTCTGAACCCTCTCCAATTTATCAACATCCTTCTTAAATTGTGGGTACTAGAACTGGACACAGTATTTCAGCAGCTATCACACCAGTGCCAAATACAGAGAATAATAGAATAATAACCTCTCTACTCCTACTCAAGATTTCACTGTTTATGAATTCCAGGATTGCATTAGCTCTTTTGGCCACAGCATTGCACTAAGGCTCATGTTCAGCTGATAATCCACCATGACCCACAAATCTTTTTCAGACTCACTGCTTCCCAGGATGGAGTGCCCCATCCTGTGAGTATGGCCTACATTTTTGGTTCCTAGACAAGTACATTTACATTTAGCAGTATTAGAAACACATATTGTTTGCTTGTGCCCAGTTTACCAGGCAATCCAGATTGACCAATCAGTGACCTCTCCTCTTCATTGTTACCACCTCCTAAATTTCTGTGTCATCTGCAAATTTTAACAGTGATGGTTTTATGTTTTCTTCCAGGTCATTAATAAAAATATTAAATAGCGTAGGGACAAGAACCAATTCCTGGGGGACCCCACTGGAAACAGACCCACCCTATGATGATTCTTCATTTATAATTATATTAAGTCCTATCAGTTAGCCAGTTTTTAATCTATTTAATGTGTGCTATGTTAATCTGATATTGTTCTAACTTTTTAATCAAAACTTATGGTACCAAGACAAATATTTTACAGAAGTCTAAGTATATTACATCAACACTATTAACTTTATCAGCCAAACTTGTAATCTCATCAAATGATTCAAGTTAGTTTGACAGGATCTATTTTCCATAAACCCATGTTGATTTGGATTAATTGCATTACCCTCCTTTAATTCTTTATTAAATAAGTCCTGAATCAGACACTCTATTACAGGGGTAGGCAACCTTTCTTCATTTATACACTTTAATTTAAGGTTTTGTGTGCCAGTAATACATTTTAACGTTTTTTAAAAGGTCTCTCTCTATAAGTCTATATTATATAACTAAACTATTGTTGTATGCAAAGTAAACAAGGTTTTCAAAATGTTTAAGAAGCTTCCTTTAAAATTAAATTAAAATGCTGATCTTATGCCGCCAGTCTGCTCAGCCTGCTGCCAGCCTGGGGTTCTGTTCACCTAGGCCGGCAGCGGGCTGAGCGGGGCCTGCGGCCGGGATGCCGGCTTGCAAGGGGCCAGCAGCCGGGACCCCAGACCGGGGGGGGGGGTTCGAGGGGTCAGGGCAGAGGGCGTGGGTGGTGTGTGGTGGGGGGTTGAGGGGTCAGGGCAGAGGGCTGGGGTTGTGTGTGGGGGGTGCAGGGCAGAAGGCTGTGTGTGTGGGTTCATGGGTCAGGACAGAGGGATGGGGTTGTGTGTGGGGGGTGCAGGGCAGAAGGCTGGGTGTGTGTGGGGGGGTTCAGGGCTCAGGGCAGAGGGCTGGGGGGGCGTGGGGCAGAAGGCTGGGTGTGTGGGGGTGCTCCCAGCCCCCTGCCCTGAGCAGCTCATGGCAGGGGGCTGGAAGGGATATGCCCTATCCCACCCCCTTCCCCAAGGCCCCGTCCCTACCTCTTCTCTGCCTCCTCTACAGAGCAGCGAGCATGCTGCCACTCCTCCCCCCCCTCGCAAGGGCCATCAGCTGATCAGCGCAGGGAAGGAGAGGAGGCGGGGCAGGAAAGCACCATGCTGGGGGAAGAAGCGGGGGAGGGGGAAAGCTTGGCTGCCGCAGGACCAAGCTTCTGCCTCCTGCCCCCACAGGGGAGAGCGGTGGGCGGGGAGGCTGAGTGGGGCTGGGGGCCGGGACTGTGGCAGGCAGCAGTGTGCCACTCAAAATCGGGTTGCGTGCCGTGTTTGGCACACATGACGTAGGTTGCCGACCCCTGCTCTATTATCTTGCCCAGAATCAGTGTCAGGCTGACAGACGTATAATTGCCCAGGTCATCCTGTTTTAAATATTGGTACAACATTAGCTTTCTTCCAGTGCTCCAAAACTTATTAAAAATCAACATTAACAGTCCAGTGAGCCCCTCAGCTAGTTCTGTTAAAACTCTTGGAAGCAAGCTATCTGGACTTGCTGATTTAAAAATGTCTAACTATTAGTAGCTTCTGTTTAAAATCCTCCAGAGATACTAGTGACAGGAAAGAGTGTTATCATCACCATCTTTTTTCCTCCAGATATAGAACAAATATTTATTGAACACTTCTGTCTTTTCTGCATTACTATTAATAATTCTACTACACCTCTACCCTGATATAACGCAACCCGAAATAACACGAATTCGGATATAATGCGGTAAAGCAGTGCTCTGGGGGTGGGGGGCTGCGCACTCCAGCTGATCAAAGGAAGTTCGATATAACGCGGTTTCACCTATAACGCGGTAAGATTTTTTGGCTCCCGAGGACAGCGTTATATCGGGGTAGAGGTGTATTTCCATCTAGTAATGGACCAATATCATTCTCAGGATTGTTTTTGTTCCTAGTATATTTAAAAAAAACTGATTATTATCCTTAACTCTGCTAACCAGAGATTTCTCCTTGTGTCCCTTTGCTTCCCTTATCAATTTGCTATAATTCCTAACTTATGATTTATATCAATTACGATCAACTTCTCCATTCTTCCATGTGTTATATCTGCCTTCACTTCCCCTCTAAACCATGTCAGTTTTTTTAAACAGCACAACTTTCTTTCTTACAAGTGTCGGTGGTCAGGCATACACAGAGCAGAACCCTGCTCTTAAGCAGGGTCTCTCCTCTGTGCCATGTGCTCAAACTGGGAAGCTCCAACCTCCTCACCCCTTTGTTAAGCTTGCCCCATGCCCCAAGCAAACCCTGGCATAGAAAAATAATTGTTCCATGGGAATGTGCCAGTACTTGAGTCCTTCACTCAATATTGCTGTGTCTTGGTCCTTCAGCAAAGTGTTATTCCAGGGCAGAGCAACTGTCTGGAATGCAATTCAATATGCTGCCCTCAGGCAAGTTTAGATGTGTGTACACATCATATAAAACGGAGTTAATAAATTGATACTCCATTCATGTTATACCCTGCATACACCACTGCAAAGTAGGTATAACAAGCTACCCAATCCGAGTGAAATGAAAGTTTCATCTAATTTGTAATCAGCTTTGTGCTTTTGTTCTATTATAACCCAGCATATGATATAGATCAAATATCATTAATCAAATTCACAGATATTGCAAATACAATTGTGACAGTGCTCAGGGAAGGGAGGGGAAGAGGGTGCAGGAAAAAAACACATAACCCAACATCCCCCAACTAACACTACAATAACCTAATATCCTGTATTAACATATAACATGAACAAACATCTTAAATATCTGCTTCCTTTAAAGGTCAGAACATTTTCTAGTAGTTAAAGGACAGGACAGGGAGCCAGGAGATCTAGATTCTGTAGCTTGCTCTGCCACTGAAAACTTTACAGTCTAAATAGGACAAGACAAACAAAAGGTGTGTGTGGGGGGGAGGAAACTGAGGCACAGAGAGGTGAAGTGACTTGCCTAAGGCCACACAGGATGTCAGTGGCAAAACCAAGGACCCTACTCAAGCCTCCTGACTCCGTCTAGTGCCATATCAACTAGCCCACGATGGGTATCCAGTCACTAGCATCTCTGGAGGATTTTAAACAGAAGCTTAATGGGGCAAGCAGGGGTCATGCTCTGCAACGGCAGGGCCTATTTTTGGTCCTTTGGCTCTTCCCCCACCCAGGCAGAGTTCCTCTGGGTGTCATCTACTGGTTCCTTGGATTCCTTTGAAGAGCAGTGGGCGCTGTCCGGGGTTCTCTCTGCAGCCTCTTGGGTTGGAGCATACTGCCTCGTACTGCAGAGTGAGGGTTCCAGTACATGGTGATATCGAGTGACCCCAGAGTGTAGACACATGTGTACCTAGTGATTAATTGAGCCCCGGGTGGAGATGGCTGGTCCTGCAGGAGTGAAGGTTGCAAGAATCCTGGAGGTGGATGCAGCACTGTCGGGGTCCAAGGGGCTGGGCTCGGCTCAGGTGGGAGGTTACAGTGTTGGAAGATTTGTTAGTCTCTAAGGTGCCACAAGTCCTCCTGTTCTTCTTTTTAGTGTTGGAAGAGCTGATCCTAAAGAGGGTTGCAGTGGGAATGAGGGGCAGAGGCTGCTCTTATGTGTGGGTGTCTGTAAGAGTTTGGTGTGTGGGGGGGTATAGTTAGGAATGCTGGGGGTCCTGAGGGAAGCTTGCAGTAGGGCAGGTCAGGAGTGCTTGAACTAGGGGTGCTGTCGCACCTCCTGGCTTCAAGTGGTTCCCATTAAATACAGAGTTTACAGTTGGATTCAATGGCTCTCACCACCCCCACTATACAAATTGTTCCAGCACTCCTGGGGCAGGGCCCAGTGGGAACTGGGGAGCAGCAAGGGGTGATCCCACCAGGCGGGGGGCGGTCCCAGCAGGCGGTGGGTCCTGGAGGGGCGATGGGGCAGGCGGGGGGCGGTCCCGGCAGGCGGACTGTCGGGCGGCTAGTCCTGGGGGGCGGGCAAGGGCTGGTCCCTGCGGTGGGGCGGGGCGGCGCCGGGCACAGGAAGCGGAAAGCGGCGGCGCTAGCAACTGCAGCAGCTGGGCTGGTACCGGGAGCAGCATGGAGCGGCCGCGAGAGGTGGGTGCGGGCGCGGGCGGCCCGGCTCGGCTCGGCTTGTCCTGCCCGGGGCTCCCCTCGCCCGCCGCGGGGCGCGGGCTCTTGCTCTGCAGCGCTGCCCGCCGCAGGGCTGGGGCTTTCCCGGGGCTCTCCCGGCTGGCGCCCAGCACCCCCGGGGCTGCTCCTGCCTCCCCGGGCTGGCCCCAGATCCCCTCTCCCGGCGGGCTGGGGTCCTGCTGCGGCTTGCGCCCCTCTGCCCTTCTCCGCGGGGCAGGCAGCCCCAGGGGGTTGAGGCCGTGCCACCCCTTCCCCGTCCCCCCTCCAGCAGCCCCCGCACCACCCTGCCGGGCCTGTTCAGCCCTCGGCCCCAGCAGGGGACTAACCCGGGATGGGGTTCGCGCCTGGCGTGCTCTGTGCCTGGGGACTGGCTGCCCAGAGCCCCTCTCCCGTCGGGTGCTGCCCGGCATGGAGGATGGCTCTTAGCTGCTGGGCTGCATCTGTGCTCAAGGCTGGGTGGCCCCTCGGCTCACGCTGGCAGGCATCTCGCTACCTCTGTTAAACCAGGGAGGGAGAAGCAGTAACCGGGCTTCTGTAAGTCTCAGCTACAAGCGAGCGTGTACTTCAGTTGCAGCTCCTGGCTAGGAGATGCCTGATCCATTTGGGCACTCCACGCTCCTGGTGGAAGGGAGAAAGAGCTTTTTGTCACTTCTCCTGCCCACACTAAGCCTCCTGGCTGCTGCATGGGTTGCCGGAGCCTCTGTTTTCTAGGTCTTCTGCCTTTGCTGCTCAGAGCTTTCCCATTCAGCAGCATGAACTGGACCAGATTCTTGTCATTTGGCATTGCTGCCCACAGAGCCCTGAATAACAGCAGTGCACATAACTGGAATCTTGCTAATTTCAGGCAGAGCTATGAGCAGCAGCTTAGGCACACTGGGGCTTGCCTGCAGACCTGGGAAGGCAACGCTGCCCTGTGCAGGGTTGCCAGGGAAAGCTTCCCACTCACCAATGGCAAGTGAATTTTTAAAGCTCTGTGTTTGGAGCAAATTAGTAATTGATTAGTAAACCAATAAGTGAATTAAAACTGAGTTCAGTACTCTGCAAATATATCTAATTCCCTGGATGATGTAAATCAAGTTGTTTAAATTCCAAGTCTGTTTGGGCAACTGTGGGTAGGTGTATAAGACAAAAAAGCTAGTAAAGCATAATGTGATCTAGTTATACAGAAGTTAGTTTGATCAGTTGGACTAATATGACAATTCATGGCTACACAGGTCTGCATGGCTTTCTGTTAAGTTTAGACCATGGCAATTTACAACCTTTCGGTGATGGAGATGTGAGATTCTTCTGCTCCAAAAGCACAGGCCTGCCCTTGGCCTGCAGGGGACACTCCTTTTAGTTTTTAGCAATATAGGTGGTGATCGTATCCCCACAGAAGACCAAGTTATTACTTTTGCCAGTTTGTTATAACAATTGCAAACTTTGAATGGCCACTTAAAAAAAAAAAGACTTAATTTCCTTGTTTAGAATGTTACTTAATGGTTCAAAATAACATTCCTGCATCAAAAGCTGGGCTCTTTAGCTACATGTTTCCTGAAGGTGCAAGTGACAGGGGATCAGTTTTCTTAGTCTAGGGAGGCAGAACTAACAATTGTACATAGTGTTAGAATATCCGTTGGGGAAATAGTTTTGATTAGTGGGAGAAGAATTGTATTCTGCTGTTCGGGGTAGTAATTCTTGCCTCATAGTTGCAGAGTATTTAACCTCCTAAGAATTTGATTTTAAACAGGCTTGGCTTTTTACTCCTTTTGGGGTTTGAATATATAATTGGCTGCAAAGCTCCAACCAATATTGGTCCTATAGTAATTTAACTTGTTAATCTTAAAAATAAATGGTGAATAGAGTTACAGAAAACCTCCTATTTAAAAAAAAAAAACTACCTTGCAAGTCAAAATTCTGGAAGGATTTCCAGCCCACGTTCAGCCACACAGAGAGGTAGCTAACGGCTGATGGCTATCGGCCAGGAGCATGAAAGCTAAGCAGATATACAGACTGTGTCTCAGTTAGGATACTGCTTTTAAATTCCCATGTTTGCTACTGTCCTTTCAACTCCAACACTGGAGGGAAGGGTAGTGCAGTTAGGGCTCCAGATTGCCAGTGGCTATCTAAGCACCATAACATCTGACCCTTATCAGAGCAGTGTTTGCATGAAAGAGTGGTTAAAATGTTAGTGCTGCTGGTACCATGGGTATCTAGTGCTCCCAGCAGAAAAGGAAAGATCCAGCAGGGTGCTACCGTCACGGTGATAATGTTTTGGAAATAAATTGCTTACCATCACTTCAGGTTTACTGTCACATTGAGATAAATACAGGGAGTTCACTCTTCTCTTTGGAGCAAATCCTGCCCTTTCCCCCGTGGTTATTGAGGGCGTTGCAAAGCCAGTGCAATTCTTTCCAAAGGATGTGGAGCCCCTGCAAGAGATGCATGTTGTGAAGCCCAACTGGATTGCCCAGTCGGGATTTGGGTTTGGGACTGTAGATCCACTGGCCATTCAACCCCCCTGTAGTTGAAATGCAAGTGGCACAGAGAGTCCTGAAAGGAGGGTTAGCCCCTCTGAGGGGTACAAACAGACCTCTGTTGTTCTCCAGAGTCTCCACTTTCGTTTAGAAGAACCCACAAAAGTCTAGCTGTTATGGTTTCAGAGAGAACCTTGAAAATGTGACCTTAGTATAACCAATGCAGATTAGTATGCCTGAGTTTGCCGAGGGCCTGCAACAATGGCTCCAAGGTTGAGCTGCCCTGTTCATTTCAACAAATGCTAACTCAGGCCAAGACACTTTAAATGTCAACGTTGTTCACTATGTCACTGCTCATGAAAGCATATATCATATAATGAAGACCAATGTTTTCTAATGTGTCGGTTGTGCCCCTCCCATGGGTCCCACAAAAGATTAGGTTCGTGGGGGGTATAGAAGGTATACAAACTAAGAGGTACAGACTTGGCTTCCAGAAATTTGGGGAAGGCTGCTGTAGCCTTGGGGCTGGAGAAGGAGTCACAATGAAGCTCTGCTGCTGCTGAGTAGCTTGTGGGGGCCCTAAAGAAAGCCCAGTAGGAGGGTTTCAGGACGCAGACTAGCGGCTGCACATGGTGTGGGCTGTAACTCAAATTTTTTGCTTGATAAACACTTCTGTTTATTACAAAGCAAACAGCCCTGCTGCGTTTTTGGACCTGTAATACACGTTCAAATGATTCACCCATATGTTTGTATTATCTATTTAAAACAAATTAAAACAATCCTCCTGTAGAAATATCCATGCCATATAATGTGAAGACCTTACTTTTTTATTTTAAATATATAAGTTAACTGCCAGAGTTAAAACTGAAACGTGCCACAAACTCAAGTGCAAAAAAAGTATGTAATGTAGGTTGTGCATTTAAAATGAAAGTCCCCAGTCCTACAATTGGATTCATGTAGACAGATCATTCTGCCCTCGTGGATCTGATTTCTGGATTGGGGCTTGAGTCAGGAAATGCTGAAGTTAATGTTCTTGCAACATGAATTTGGTGACGTTGCTCATACGTGGCTCTTTCTATTTGTTCTTAGGTGTGTAATTTAATATATTAAACTACAATGACTTTTACACTTTAGGAAAATACCACAGAAATATTGTGCAGCCAAGTTAATGCTGCTGCAGGAACTTTTAACTTGTAAATTTCCTGACTCTCGGTCTTTGACTGTGCAATCCTAACATTGCCTTAACACAGCTTTTAGGTTTTTGTATTTAATTTCCAAGTCTTTACTAAATTAAATTGGGAGAAATTTCCCTTGTTTGCCAGCTTACGGGCCTTCATTGGCCAATAGACAGTTGGTGCCATTTAAATATCGAGGCCAACTGCACACTTAACTGAACATGTGTGTACTTGTGGATGCTTTCTGCTGCTTATGCTCCAAATGGCATTTTCAAATGCACGTAACTTCACAAACTAACTGCCAAATTCTAATTCAGTAGAAGTTCTAAACCTGCATAATGATTAATTCCTTACTAAATTTGAAACTTCAAGACTGAGCTGATCTAGAGTTATCTTCCCAAGCACTGCATAAGCAAACCTTGAAACTGTGAGGAAACTGATGGGGTAGCCCAGAAGGCTGGGTATTTTTGTTCACATTTGTAAATTAAAGGGCTGAATGCAACCAACTCAACTCAACCTCTTTTTTTGTAATTGCCTTGAGCCGGGGCCTTGCTCTCTTGAAATCAATGACCAGACTGACTTCACTGGCAGCAGGCTTGGGCCCTAAGCAAGGAAAATGGCCATTCCAAAGAAGAAATTTTTATGAGAGGTTTATGAGCATTTGAAACTAGGGAGTTACAATAAGTTACTTAGCAACCTTAATTATAGAGATTTCTGCTGTACTCTGTGGAGACTATCTTATCTGATAGGCAGTGATTTATCTTGATGTGAAGGGCTAGTGCTCTTCTTGCCAGCATAGCCACCTTCCCTTTGGGAGCATAGCAGGGCTCTGTATTCCTGTGTGCTCAGCAGCAGCAACTCCCTTATGGGCTGCGAAAAGGACAAACACAGTCCAAGTCCTACCCAAGCCCTGCCCCACCACACACTGGTGCCCAAAAGGACTTCCTTCAGTGCCAGTCCAAAGTGTCCAAATCGGGGCATCCCTGAGTAGTCACACAAGATGATGGCCTTGTCTAAACAAAGTTGAACCATTTTAACTTAAATTGGGGTTTAAACTGTTGCAAGCTTGTGAATAGATAAGGCTTCTGTACAGTACAGTTGCCCATGTCCTAGGGCCATGAAGAGATTTATTTGTTACTTTTATTGTGATAGCATCTATAGGCCACAACCAGGTTCGGTCCCATTGTGCTAGGCACTGCACTCATGTCCGCTCTGTGCAGAATGTTAATTGTAGGAGCCTTCCCATTACTTTCTGGGCCTGCCAGTCGAGGACTACTGTCTTCTTATGGCTCCCCAACCTAATGAGCCCTCCCTGAGGACTCTTCTTTTTTCCTTTCTCTCACCCCCACTGGCGGTTCTTGGGAGTTTCTTCCAGCTGGGCTTAGCCATTTCCTACGGTGGGCTACATACCACACACCCTTCCGTGCCTGACCTGGGTGTGGGGTGTGTACATTCCATGTCAATGCAGCATTGTAGGATTGTGGTTGCTGCAGTCTTCCAAAGGAGGTTGCCTGTGGTGTTGCTCAAATTGGGTATGGTCTTCAGGCTTCTGGAAAGTTGCCAGTGCAGCCCTTGGTTGCCCAAAGTTTGGGTGCCCTTAGCTGGCTGATAGGCAAAACCAGTGGTGTCTCTTTCCAACTGAATTCAAACAGATATAGTGCCCATTCATAGTGCCCATTCATAGCAGTCCTGCTGCAGCCTTGGCAGAGCGCTCTGTTTAACCGTCAGTGTCCTGTGGCCAAGGCTGTGAGGTGTTGCAGAACTTTCGTGTTAAGGGTATTGCTGTTGGTGGTGATTGATCCAAGAGGGTTGGCTTTTTGGGGGCCTCTCGTTGACTTTTTGTGGAGCTGCATCAAAACCATTGCTTTTGTTTACACACACCCACACACCAGGATCCTGCCTGCCCTGGGGGCATGTTCTCCGCTTGATCCCTTGTCACCTCTTCCTACCTCAGAATGGGAACTGCCTGCTCTTGATTCATGCGGGGAAAGCCTGGATACTTTCTCTGTAGTATCGGTCTGCTGAAATGCTATGCTGACTCTCAACAAAGATGCTCGTGCCTGTAAAGCAGTATGCCGTGTGTTGTCTCTCTGCCGCCATCCCCTTAATAAAAAGCTCCACTGCTAACACACAAGGAATTTCTATGTCCTAGCACTGGTTACTCCCTTAGGGTTGTAGTTAGAGGAGGGGGTGGGGAATTATACTCCTATTCTTGGCTCTGCCACTGAGTTGCTGTGTGATCTTTGGGCAAGCCACTTGCTCTCTATACCTAAGTTTCTTCATCTGTAAAATGGGGATAATACCAACCATCCAGGGAGGCTGTGAGACTTAAGTAATGCATGTTTGCAAAGTGCATGGAGAACCTCTGAGAGGTAAGAGTGTTAGTCTCTATAGTAGAAGCTAGTGTAATTTCTATACTAGGGGTGGTTACCTCTCCTTGGGTATACACACAGCCCTCTTCTCCTCCCCACTTTGCTGTTCCCATTGTAGGGGTACATGTGTTAGTGTAGAGGATAGCTGTCCTCAAAGAATAGATTTGAGTAAGGCCACAAACAATTTGTGATTGGAAATCATGACTTTGAGCCCATGCGTCTTACTTGCAACTTCTGTCTAATTCAGGATGTTCCTCCTCTATTGTATGCAAGTCTTGCTGATTTACGGGAATTGCAGATTATGGCTCTAGGTGGTTTCTATTGATCGTGTTCTGCTAAGGGTGCTTTCTTCTCACGGCCATCCTTGCACACACATCTGCACTAGCTTCTGATCTCCTGGCTACACTTCAAGCCTCTCCTACTTGCTTTCAGATCTCTGCATGGTTCTGCTTTTGCCTGGGTCTCTACCCTCCTGCATCCCACCCAGCTTCATGCCTCCTTTCATTAGGAGACCTTCCTGCCTTATAGCTGCAACAGTCTCCTGATTAACATGCACACAGCCAATGCCCTCTCCATTCAAATAACTTCTGCAAGCGCCCACCTATTTGACAAGGCCTTGCAGCTCCCACCATCTATGTAACATTTTGTAATATTGTCCCCACTTGTTCCATCAGACTGTGAACTCCATGGGGCAGGCATTTTGTTCTTTGTTCTGTACACTTTATACAGTGTAATGAGTGTGCTATACACTTACATCATTAATTAGCACATGAGGTGTTAAAAAGATTAGCCCAGATGAGTTAAAAAGCCAACTCTTGCTCTTTTTGAAGGAGGTTGAGTATTTCTTGCAAGAGGTTTGAAAATTGCTGTGAGCAGAAAATAATTGGAGGATTTAATGAACGCAAACTCTCTCTTGTTTTAGAACTTGTAAATAAATGTAACACCAATGAAAGTAAAGGCCACGACACTGATGAGAGGCAGGAATAGCCTGGGCAGGAAATGTATAAGATTGCTCCCTCCTTCCTCATGCCAAGCACCAAGCTCTGCCAAGGGCCCACTGTCTTGAGCTGCAGTCCAGCCACCTACTGTTCTAGAGTCTGGGGATCTGTGTAGTGACAACCCTGTTTGTGTGCATCATGAAAACTGGCAAATCGCTCCTCTATCCTCTATTCAATTTAACTTGTAACCTAATCCAAAGTGTGAATTTGGGTTCCCCAAAATGAAATGGATTAGTGTCCACCAGTCCTTCGCTACTGGAAATGTTTGATTGTTATTCCAATATCTTGTTCTTTCCAAAACATGTTCCCTTTCCTCCTCATTACAAAGATGTCACACACCAGAATGCCCTACAAAATATACTCCAGGAAACAAATGCTGCACAAATCCAGGGTGTGTGTAAAGTAAATGTGATCTAATAATCTCTACCCTCACTCCTATGACTTTTTAAAAGCTGCACTTCTGAGCCCAAGTAGCATGTAGATGGTATGTGAGAGGGGACCTTGTAATCTATGGTATTTTATAGTTAGTAATGCTAATAAAATGGACACACCTTGTAGTTATGAAAACAATACAGGTTCAGGCACGGTGGGTCTGATTCTCTTTTGCCTTGCCCCTTATGCGCTGACATATACCTGTGCAATGTGAGTGTAAAATGTTTTCATTCTGACTTGGTAACATTTTTATATCTGCTTTGCACAGGTGTAAATGACAGACAGGGCAAGATGGTGGTGGAGACGCAAACCCAATGCATCTTGATGCATTTTCCAGTAGTGAGTTACAGAAATCTACGGCATGGGCTGTGTTGCCTTTCCCTCACCAGACCCCTCTGTTTATCCAAAGATTCTGCTGTCCTCTGGAGACTTTGAGATAAATGGGGCTGCGTTGTGTATAGCAGGAGCTGCTTATTTTATAATTTATTACTCCACAAATATATGGACTGAACAAAAAAGCTGTGGTATCTGTCCCCAAGAGCTTACATGTTTAGACCAGGTGTGACAAATGTTGATAGATGCTACAGGGGAAGGAGGACAAGGCCTACCAGGGTAAACATGTGGCTGCTTTGCTTAGTAGAGTATCGGTATTGTATGCCCATCTGTTTCTTTTTTCCTAGGTTGGTATTGAAGATTAAGGCACCTGCTCTTCCCTCCTTAGAGTTTCTTTAGGTGGAAAGTCATTGGCTGCCTGATGTTTTGGAGCTACTCATGATTGGGACGCTGAGAGTATCCAGGAAAGTACTTTCTCTGAGGACCCCACCTCAGTAGCAACAGCTGCTCACCCTCTAAGGAAGGCAATCAGTGCCCCTCCCAGCGGGGGGCAGACGTCTGCTGCCATGGATACCGAATCGACATACTCGGGATATTCCCACTACTCAGGTCACTCCAAAAAAGCCCACAGACAAGGGTATGGAAACCGTTATTAACAAATTAGTCCTTAGGCTGGGCAGTGTCACAGTGTCATGACCTCTTCCTTAGATCATGCTGAAGCCCCTCGCAGACCAAAACACTGTGGCTCTAAAGGAGGCAAAGTGTGGGATGACTTTTTCTCTCTCTCAGGACACTAGAAATAGGGCCACAGAAGGTGGAGATGGAAAAAGATTGGTTAGTTCAGTCATTAACTGAGAGGGCTGGATAGGGTCCCCAGATGGAGGACTGACCAGCTTTTTAAACAAATGCTTGCTATTCCTCCTCCTTTTTTTCCACTCCTGTTTGTCTTCCTCAGCTAGGGGCAAAGTTTCTCTTCCCCTCAGCTGCCATGTTAATACCTTTTGTGGGTAATTCAGGTGTTTAGAAAAACAGCTAAAAATAGGCAACGTTTGCCTGTGGCTTTCATCTGAGATCAGGGCCCCACTGTGATAGGTGCTGTATGGACCCAGACATTCCCTGTCCTGAAGATCTTAGTCTAAATATTGCTGTCAGTGCTCCCTTGAGTACTACCTCAGCCCCCTTGAGACAGCTTGATTACTGACTCCCCAACCCACCATCTCCCTCTGAAATCCTTTGGGGAGAGGGAGTACTCCCTCAGTTTACACTGAGGATACATGTGGGTGAGTGTCCCCTTCTCCAGGCCTCTTCTGATGTTGCTGGGGTAGGAGGTGTTTGTGACCAGGGATTGAGAAGGGAAGAAATAGGTACAAAGTTTCTAATTTAAGTCTTCTAGGCCAGGGACTGTCCTATACAGCTCTGAGCTCTCTGTGAGCACTGAACTAAGTTTGGAAAGAGGGTCATGTTGTACGGGCAGGTGCAGGTTCCTCGGTGGAGTGAGTCCTCTACAATCCTATTGCCAGAAACCATCTGCAGACATGGGATCTATGTTGGCTCCCAACCTCCTTGAAGGCATAGCAGGTGGAGTTTATGTTGTGGAAGGTTGTATCGCAAAGGTAACTGGCAAGAGGCTAGGGCACCTTTTGATTTACAGGAGGTTAATGAAAATGGATAGATCTCACTGGGAGGGCTGAGTCTGTGATGCCTTCTGGTGAATGGGTCCTGTAATCTTCTTCTCCCCTTGCCTTTATTTATGGGAAAGGAGTCGGGACAGGCACAAATCGCCACGGAGTAAAGATGGCAGTAGGTCAGAGAAATCGGTCACCATCCAGACGCCTCCCGCGGAACCGCTGCTGGGGAATGATGCCTCTCGGACAGAAGAGGGTCAGGTAAGGAATGGGAAGCAAATGGAGACGTGGATGGGCAAAGCGGGCTGTGGGACAGCATTCTGCTTTGGTGACTGTCTTTGCCTGCCTGCACGCTAATGGAAATGTGTTCGTTGGACTCTTGGTAGCAGGCAGGAATGGCTCTCGGGTCCCTTTGGATCATAGTTAATGCTGTTTTGGGTTTTTTTCAGGCCTTAAACTGCTTTGCAAAACTCTCTACCTATAGGGACTGCATCACTTCACCTACCACCAAAATGTAGCCACTTCTGTGGTGGGATGTGGTAGCAATTTAACAAAGAGTAACACATGATTAAAGATAAAATATGAAGAATTGAAATGGTCACAGGCTTTTAGGGAGGCAGAATGCAATGATCCATTTATACCTCCACTCTTGTATTAAAAGGCATGGGACCTTTGAGCTTACAAGTGGTCAGGACTTTTGTTTTGTCTCTTCTGAAAGCATCACTTTCAGTAGTACAATGCCCTGTCTGAACACACTGAGGGCTTTAGTTCACTATTGATTTCGAAGAGCGCTTACTACTGAATCACCAATGCTTTGTGTCATGCCAAACGTACCAAGCCAGCTGTTTTTACCATCTGATCAAGGATAGTTACCCAACCCAGCCCCCCTCACTTTTTGCTTTAGCGACATGCCATTTAAAAAAAAATCTAGACCTTTTAAAAAAAACCCTCTTTCTAAAGGTAACAGAACAGGCGACCAAGATGCTGAGTGGAGAGAGGAAAGCAAGAGACAATCTACAACAAACATAAGAAAAAGGAATGACAGCAAAAAATTGAGTCCATGCAGTAGGTATATGGACACTAGGTCAGGCAAAGAATGGAAAGCTACTGTTTCTATATTATATCTGGATCAGAACAGCGGCCCTTCTATACCGGGAGCTCCACGGGTTGAAGCAGTCATACTGTGTGAATAGTAGCCTTAAAGAGCAGTGACACTTCAAGACAAACTTGGAATAGTTTCCAAATAGCGTTTCAGTGCATCCTATGTTTCACTCTTTTTCTGCATGTACTTTTTAGGTTAGTACTGATGTCTTACGCAAAACCAAGAAAACTCTCAGGGAATCAGGGCCTGTCTACATATAAAAGGCTGCATCAGTGCAACTGCACCACTGTAGCACTTTAATGAAGATGCTCCTATACCAAGCTTTCCCGCTGATGTAGCACGGTCTACATTGGAGGGTTGGGGGTGGGTGTTAGGATGGTATAACTACTTTGCTCAGGGAGTGTGGATTTTTCACACCCCATGAGCGCCGTAGTTACACCAATGTAAGCCTCCAATGTAGACCAGACCTCAGTCTGCTGCCTCTTCCCCGCCAGCAATGTATGCGTTAATAGTTGTTAGAGCACCCAGATGCCACTGCAGAGGGTGCCAAATGGAGGTACATAAATAAACCTTCTTTGTTTTTTGGACAATAGCTTTCACAAACTGCCAGTTAAACAGTTGTGAATGGGTGAGTTTATTGTGTCAGGTGGGGCAAAATATGCTGATGAGTTCTTAAGAAACAGGTCTTTATCTTCATGCAAATCTCTCTAGTAATGTAAACTAAAAAGCGAAGAAAAATACAAAAAAAATATGAGAAGGATTGTCTCTTAGCAACTCAAAGACATTATGCTCCGGCAGCTTTTCAGCACAAATTTAGCTCAGTGGGAACGTCGAGGGATCAGCCTACCAACGAAGCTGAAGGTCTACCGAGCAGTGGTGCTTCCAACTCTGCTGTACGCCTGCGAGATGTGGACTGTCTATCGGAGTCATGCACGAAGGCTCAATCACTTCCACATTTCCTGTCTGTGAAAGCTTCTAAAAATCAGATGGCAGGACAAAGTGCCCGATACTGATGTCCTTACTAGAGCCAGTCTGCCGTCAATTCACGCATTGCTGATGAGAGCCCAGACCAGATGGGCCGGACATGTTGTGAGAATGTCAGATGAACGCATTCCTAAACAGCTCTTCTACGGAGAACTCACTCAGGGAAAGCGCTCCCATGGAGGACAAAAGAAGCGGTTCAAAGACACGCTGAAGACCTCTTTGAAGTCCTTCGAGATCAACACCGCCACATGGGAAACCTTTGCACTGAACCATCCAGCATGTCACAGCCTCATTCACACAGGCAGTAATACCTCTGAGGCGAGGCGTATTGCTGAGGCTGAAAAAAAGCGTGAGCTGCGCAAATCCAGAGCTGCTCGTACATCATCGACAGTGCCATTACATGTCTGCCTGACGTGTAACAGGACGTTCCACGCCCGAATCAGACTGATCAGTCATCTTTGGATGCACAGAGCCCGGTCATCGAAAAAATGAGTTGTTGAGGTCTTCATTGATAACGATGGACGAACATCAGCTCAGTAGCTCCACTTGACTGCATGAACTCTTGATAATGCCATTTTAAATGGGAAGAACTGTTAGAACAGTGAGGCTGGGAACCAGGACTTGTGTGTTCTGTTTTAGGTTTTGGCCCCGACTTGCTGTGATCTTGGCAAGTCACTTCCCCTCTCTGTCACTGTTTCTCCATTTGTAAAATGGGGGTAATTATATTGGTCCACCTCATCGAGTGAGTGAGAGGGTAAGAGTTTGTGTCGAAAATGCTTAGATGATCATATGGAAGGTGCTAGCAAAAGGCAGTGTACTCTAGTACTGCACTCCACTGGATAACTCCTTAGGCCTTTCCAGGGCCTGTTTCTACAAAAAGTGTTAACGTTGCTGAGACCATGTCAAGATGCTGGCTGTGGTTGGTGTCTCTTTTTAAAACCTCAGTGCTTTAGGCCTGAGATATTAATGTCCCAAATTGCACCAGAAGTGAAATTCTTGGAGCTATTCTAAATAATTATGCTGCCTCAGTCTGCTCCTGTCACAAGGATACTTTTAGACTTAATCTTTTTTATAACTCTTTTGAGAAGTGATTGTAATGATTTTATTAGATACTGGGCTGATGGCCCTGATTAGATGGAGGCCCTGAAACCACAGAACGAGAACAACACAACATCACTACCTCTGTCAATTAAGTTAAGCCTGTTTCTGTTAAAACACTTCTGTCAGCATATTTCCGTGCAGAAGCCAAAAAGGTTTACTCCTGTCAGTCACTGACACACTTGCACTGGGATATCTTTTTCTCTTCCAGAAAACATGTTGGGTGCTAATGACTGATTTGGTGACTACAAAGGCTTAAGGTGCCACTATGTGGAATGAAGGAATCTATCTACTGTCTAGAAGCTTTAATGCAGTTTGGAATGCACTGGTGTAAATTTGTCAAGTCTTCAGAAGTCTGAGTCACTCCCTGAACAGCAGTTCCAAGTCAGATCCATACATGTCAGATTAACTCTTTATCGTTGCCTTGTGTAGGGGTGTCCAAGCAGATGCATCATGGAGTAGGAAGAACAGTGTGCAGGATCTCTGTGGCAGAAGTTCTCTGAAGTTGGAATCCTTTTATTGCTGACTTTCAGAAAACTTTAATGTAGACTGAAATTTGACTCTTTGGCAATTGTTCCAACTTTTCAAATATGCTGGCTTCAGGTTGAACAGCTTTTGGACACATCCAGTTAATATAGGAGCGAACAGGTGTTGTAGAGACCCACAAATTCACATGGTCCAGCACCTATAAATATCTATCTCCAACTGCTGGAGAGTTGGTTGTTAGCTTGACAAACATTGGCTAAAACAGTTCAGCAGAGGGTAGGGCTACCATATGTTCAGATTTCCCCGGACATGTCCGTCTTTTCGGTCTATAAATAGCTGTCCGGGGGGGATTTTTAAAAATCTAAAAATATCCGGGATTTCCCCCCGGTTGGCTATTTATAGACAGAAAAGCGGCGGCCAAGCCCCGCTGGGCAGCCAAAGCCCCTTCCCAGCTCCCCCCATACCCTGCAGCCTTACCACGCTGTCCGGCCCTGCAGCTGTCTTCCCCCTCCTCCTGTCCCCTGAACACTCCGCCCACCTGCTCCTCCCCCTCCCCTGTTCCCGCGAATCAGATCTTCGCGGGAAGTCTGAAAAGAAGCAGGGGCAGGTGGGAGGCAGAAGCAGGTAAGCTGGGGCGGGGGGGCGCGAGGAGGAGAGCTCCGGGAAGGCGCGGCCCTGGCCGAGCGGCTCCCTCCGGCCCGGGCCGAGCAGCGCCTGGCAGCCCGAGCAGCGCCTGGCAGCCCCAGCGACTCTGGCCCGGCTCGGGCCCCAGGGCTGCGGCCCCGGTTCCGGCCCCCAGCAGCGCCGGCCCCGGTTCCGGCCCGAGCGCAGCCCGATTCCTGAGCTCTTTAAAGCTGGCCCTGGTCACGGGACAG